ATCTGTTCATTATCTAATTCTGTTCCCATCTATCTATCTATCTATCTATCTATGTTCATATCAATCTATCTAAATTTGTTCCTATCTATCTATCTATCTATCTCTGGGAAAATACGATCAAACAAATATGTCGCTTTTTTTTTTTTTTTTTTTTTTCAAACAAGAGATAGACGTTCTGCACCTGCGCGTTGTAACATTTTTGTTGAGGGCGGGGGTCATATTTGCGTTGTTGATGAAAGGAGGGTGAAGGCGGTTTCATTGCGTCTGTCTGTTTTACGAGTTTGTTGTCTTTGTCGATCGTCTTTTGTTCGACCGGAACAGATCTAAAGTTCCGAGATTGCGCTTACCGTTGAGACATTGTATATCGTTTGTTGTTGCTGTTGTTGTTTCCTTCTTTTATGTGCCGCGCCTCCTTTTTAAGACGTTTCCGTCTCCACAACTTTGGTCTCTATAAAAGTTGGATTTGACTTTTCACCGCCATTGTTTGTTCACACTCTACCACTTCTCAAAATCTCATTAAGTAGGTTACCCGCTGTTTCCTTCGTCCACTTCTGTCGTTATATGTCCTGTAGGTGTTAAATTCTCCAAGCCCTCTTTCCACATTGTTGTGTCCCAGCAAATCCAGCTGCCACTTTTTGATTCTGAGCATAGGCATTCTTTTATTTCCATTTTTCTTCAAGACTTCTTTGTTACGTGTTTCATCCATAGTATTCTTGGCATCCGTTTTGCCTCAAGACTCTTCATCATCTTCAGTCTGGTAGTGATGAAGTAGTGACGTCTGTTGTAAGGAATTGGTTACATCAGTAATCAGCTGTGTTTTCCGAAGCTGGAATATATGACCTCCTTCGTAGGTGGAACACTGCCATTGAAAGAGGTGGTGACTATGTTGAGAAGAAGGAATGTTCACCTGTGATATATACCTATATCTTGATATGCTCGGGTTTTTCTTATGAGAATTTTAGTTCTACACAACCTTCCGGTCATTGTTTCTACAATCTACGTTTCTACGTTATTGTGTCTCGGCAATTTTAACCGCCTTTTTCTGATTCAGTCGAATGTCCTTAGAAACAAAAGAAAAGAACTCTGAACTATCTTGTAATATCTAATCTCATTTATGGCAGTAAATACTGAACAATCTCCTCACAGATGAAGAAGAGACTTGAAGCGACAGAGATGTGCTTCTACTGACGAGTGTCCTTAGAAACAAAGAAAAGAGTGTTGGACGGCTATGTAATATCTAATCTCCTATATGGCAGGGAATGCTGGACAATCTTGAATAGAAAGAGATGTGGTTCTACAGACATATTTCCCTAGAAACAATAAAAGAAAACTAAACTGAAGTAGCAGTCATTCATTTTGATGTCCTTTCTCTTTACTGCTGAAGAAAGATCCTTGTAGGACAAGCCATTTTATATTTATTCTCCTTCTCTTCTGCATTGTGTCGCTTCAGGACATTAGCGATTATGGTTCTCCTCAATTTCTTGGTATCACTCAATAAAATTTATCTTTTTGTTATAGCTCTCTTAAATCTTTTGTTCCATCCATTTACTTAAGCTCGCTAGGTAAATTATACTTTTTTCTTCTGTCCTTCTTGCTTTCAGTCTGTCCTGTGAGTATCAGATTTTCCATGCACACTTTCCTCATTATGTGGCTTACAAATTTTAACAGTCTCTTCCTGATTTTAAGTATAACTGCCCTTTTTATTGTCATTTTTTTCCTAAAACTTCGTTATTGCTCACGTGTTAGTTTCATTTTATTTTCAGTATCCACCTGTAGAACCAGATCTCTGTTGCTTCAAGTCTCTTCTTCATCTTTGAATGGATTTCCCAGTATCGATTGCCACATAGAAGATTAGATATATAGCCGTCCAACTCTCTTTTCTTTGTTTATAACAAAATAGCATCCGTAAATAACAATTGATGTATATATTGTTAAAAATATTTGTTCATAATTGAGAAAAACTCATGTCATAAACACAAAACGAGGGGAAGTGGCGCCAAGAAGTCTGTAATGATAGTCGCCATCATATAACGAATACGACGAAGCAAGCAAATAAAAAAAAAGTGACTGAAAACTATACAACCGTGCGTCGTTTGAAATGTTAAATATTCCTTTCAGAAAAGCAATATCTATTACATGGTCTTTAGCAAAAGAGACAGACGAAGGTGTGAGCTACGAATTAGAGACATCACAGGTAGGTAGGTACAACGAGTAAGCAACAGGGAAGTCTGAAAGAAAATAGTAACAGAAAGAACATTCTACTCAGAATAAGGGAGAGACAGATGACATTTCTTAGACACATAATGAAGGAGGAGAGCTTGGAAAACTTAACACTCACGGGGCATATCAAAGGTAATCATGGCCGGTGCAAGGGGCTCGTGAATCCCCGAATCTAGGATATACGCCCTCCTCCACCGAATCCATCATACAGTGGCCCCAATATCTCAATTTTCAAGGTCGTTTTCATATCAAATGTAAATCGATACTCATCTCAGCTGCGGCTGTTCTGTTCATTTAATATTAATGTTTTCTGGGGGAGCGGGAAGAAACATGACCTCCATCTCTTTTCTTCGACCCCACCTATGGGTTAAATAGCAAGACCCCTACCTAACGAATTTAGCGATTTCAAACAAACAAACATTAATTAGATTTGTATCATTACGTTCATTAGTACGCCATAACTAAGGATCAAAATAATTTTTATGAATGGAAAACCTATTTTAGCTTTAACTGAAAGATAAAATATTAGGAGGCACGGTGGAGTAATGGAGAGCCGAGTTCGAAATCAAGTCGAATCTATTCACTATATATGCAATAAACTGCTAAGACCCTTAGGTAAGGTGTGAATCATCATCTTCTCCCCCAGGAATTTATCGATAGCTGAAAATAAATAGCAGAACAGGTCGGGTTCTGTAGCCTTGGATTGCAACCGGATGGCAACTGTTCAAAAACAGAAAGAAATGGCAACCTACTACGGGAAAAAAAATCTGCCTCAACAGTCATGTATCGAAAGATACATGATCGCCTAAGCGTGTATCACGCATGGAACATAACTAACTGAATGTTTAGAAATAATATTTTGTGGAGGCACAAGTCATCGTGACCGAAGCTTTGAGTGTGCTTCTGTTGTTCAGATTTTTGATCATTCTAGATGAGAAGCTCTCTCCCAAAAACTGTAACTAAGGTCTGCTCGGCATAGTTGTAGTATAAACCACAGGTAGTCTCTTTGGGTGTTGAACAAATAAAAATATGCCTGAGCGAGAGTCGGTAATAGAGATTGTCTAGACACCCTAGTAGACGTCTATTCTCGAATACAAAGTGGCCATATATATATATATATATATATATATATAACAACTGAGACAGTTTCGCTGTATCACAGCTCATCAATGTGACTAGACGTTCGGTTGCCTCTAGCTAGGATCGAAACCCGACTGAATTGGCATCAGTCGGGGGTTCTACCACTAGGCCGTTGTAGGAAGTGGAATTTAAGCGTATTTATATATATATAGTAGTATTACTGTAGTTTATTGCATATATATATATATATATATATATTAGTATTTCTGTAGTTTATTGCATATATATATATATATATGCAATAAACTACAGAAATACTACTATATATATATATATATATATATATATAGTAGTATTTCTGTAGTTTATTGCATATATATATATATAGTAGTATTTCTGTAGTTTATTGCATATATATATATATATATATATATATATATATATATATATAGTAGTATTTCTGTAGTTTATTGCATATATATATATATATATATATATATATATATATATATATATATATATAGTAGTATTTCTGTCGTTTACTGCTACCAGCAAGCAGAAATATTTCTTCTCCTGATGATGGCCACTTTGACCGAAACTAGTCGAGGAATCTAAATGCAATAATAATAATAAAAACGAAAGAATATTACTCTACAACCCAGTGTGTCTGAAGATTTTAATTTTTTAATATATTTTTTTTATTGTTCAGTATGTATATATATATATATATATATATATATATATTAGATCGGACTTACAAACGAGGTAACTTACATTCAACATTCTGCGAAGATTAAAAGGTTATTATTCATTTAAGGCCATTAGATTTGGGGTCAGCACAGTCATTACCCGAGAGCGTTACAACAAGATGAGTTCTACGTGTGACGAGGACAGGCCTCTCCTTGTTCGGTGTATTAAAACCGTCATTGTTTCTGTCGGTAAGTCGAGCGGTGTGATCTTAGCGGCCTCGCCATCTATGTCGAATTAATACAGCACACGATGTGAAATTCGTTGAAGATTTTGCTCGCCTGGTAAATTGCTTCGTCGTGTAATCAAAATGAAATTTTAAAAAAAATAAGAAACTTGAATGAATGAACTAGATATTACATTTTTCTTTTGTCCTGTAGTTGAATGTTGGCTTTCTTTACAACCAGCGGGTTCATAGTACCAGCGAGTGCAGTTCCATGATTGATTAACGGTTTTTAGTCTACGAGGTTCAAACAAAAAAAGAACATTTATACTGAAAATCAGAAAGAGACTGTTGAAATTCCTAGGGCACATCATGAGGAAAGAGGACTTGTAGAATTTGACACTCACATGACACATTGAATTAGAGAGTGTCAGTGGAAAGCGGTGAATAGATTGTCTAACGATCTTGGCAGAACAGCGTTTACAAGACAGCAAAAATACAAATTTTACTGAGGGCTACAAGGTCCAGGAAGTTGTGGAGAGCCATGATCGCCAACTTCTTGAAGGAGCACGGTGCATAGAAGAATAAGAATAGCAAAAGAAAGCAACCATGATATTTTCAACTGCATTTGTCATATTTGCGTTCTGAGTAGTCAAGGATTTTATCGATACAATTAATTCTATTGCCTCGTCTAAGAAAGAATTCTGTTTTTAAAGCATTGAAAAAAGTCTTCAAGAAAATGACAACAGAAAAAAGACTTCTACTCAGAATTAGGAAAAGACGGCTTAAA